GGTAGGAAGTATCCGAAGTCTGGGGCTCAAGAGCCTGGGATGGAGGATGCTTGGCTGTGGCATCTGGGCACATCCGAACTCCAACACCTGGGCTTGGGCCTGTGGGTAGGACACCTGCCAGCAGTTTCAGGAGCATCTGAAGTCCCAGGGTGTGAGCCTGGGACAGAGGATGCTTGCCAGTAGTAGTGCCTGGCTACAGCTTGCTACAAGTGTGCTATGCCGTACAAGGTGTTGAGAATGATTGAGTTTTGCCTGCTCAATCCACACGGTATTTGGGATGGTTGAGTTCTGCTCAGCTGATACCATTTGGAACTCATTTGGCTAATTTGACCTGGAGCACAAAAAATATTATTAATAATAATAAAAAAATCTATCTACTGGTGTGGATGCTCTGGCTGGGAGGACCCTTGGGGACTGTGGGGCCGCTTTCCTGTCCCTCATCCTTTCATGTTTCACTAGGTGGGGTCCGCTGGCTCCTTCGATACATTCAAGGGCCAGTGGGCACTGGCTGGTGTGCTCTGTTGGTGTCTTGTCTCTCCCTACCCCCCCATGGAGAACTCGCTTTGAACTTCTGACTTTGTTCCTGCCCCTGTTTCCCTGTTTTCTCTTTAGTTGTGCCCCAAAATCAATTGGCGTATACGCAAGAGCCCCCGTGTCACATGGTAGCAAAGGGCAGATGCTGACAGGGAGAGTGAACTGGGTATGACAAGGGTTTTTTCCCCACTTCCTCTCCCACTTACAGCCTCCAGCATTTAGGGCCTAGGAAGTTCTGATTCAGATGGTGCCCCTCACTCCTCTGCTCAATAGTGACTAATGCCCCTTTGCTTCAAGAATGCATCCAATCTCTTTTTGAACCTGGCTAAACTGTCAGCGTCCACAGCACCTGATGGCAAGGAGATCCACACTGTAATGACACACTGTGTGGAAAGGAACTTCCTTTCATTAATTTTAAACTGCCTTCATTTTCTGGGCCTTAATTCTTAAAACTGGGCAGTGCCCAGGATCATTTGTTCTTACTTACAAGGGTCAGTTTCTGGCTGCACCCAAGTCCATTATATTCTGGGCACGAAAGTGGTGTCCTGGTTCTGAAAATGCTGAGTTGGATCGTCATGTTGGGTAAGCCCAGATCTGGTACCTTGTGTGTGACCACAGTGCAAGCTTAGAAAGGAAAGGGAAGGAATACCATTAAGAGGTGTCTGGGTTCTGTGTGAACTGGTGTCCCTTGTAGTGGGTCAGGCCTTTTAGAGAGAGGCTTAAACTCCCTGGAGTACATGTCAGTACTGTATCACAGTGGGGGAGGATTTATCCCCAATCCCATGCATATCTTGCCCCCAACCTTTCCCTCCCAGTTGCTGCAGGTGTTCAAGATGATGCTAAAAGACACTGAGGGCCATTCAGTTACTCTGGTATAGGACCTACCTTGTCTGACCGTGACAGATGACCCCTGCTTAATGTGCCCCCAGAGTCTATATGAGCATTCATGATGGTTTAATTCACATTTCTAGATTGCTTTGATCTCCTCTGCCATTTCTTCTCAGCATATCCCAATAGATAATCCCTCTGAAATGCTTAGGAGAAATAATTTTCTTTACCCTTTCTCCAGGGGAGGAAACGTGTCAGTTGTAAAAAAGGCTCTGATGCAGTCTGGCACTGGATTGCTTTGTATTTAAGATCTTGCTGTCTCACATAGCCACACTCATGACCCCTGTTACCATTATATTAAAATACAGGGTACCAATTATAGGGGACTTCCCTCCCTTACATTGTGCTCTCACTGTTTTCCTCCTTTCTTCTCTCTACCTTATGCTGTGCGCTTTCTTTCTGTGCTCTTCCTCACCCTGTGTCCTAGGTTTTCTGAACAAGCAGGTCTTGTAAAGGACAAATGCCGATACCTGCCAAGATCTTTCCCAGCCGTATTCTGACAGGTTTATGTCCCCCTGTGTGGCACTTGCTGCTGCGTAATTGATAGCATGCAGGGGATGGGTAGATGGCTGGACTTTTCATCATGCAGCTGGTGCAATGTAAGCTAATCTGATTTCCTCACCCTTTGGCCCTGCTTGATCATGTTTGGTTTCAGGAGCATTTAAAGAGAAGTCCCTTCATCTTAGGCCTATCTCACACAGGCTTTAGTGCTGCTGCTGCTTCTCGTGCGTGGAACATAAACGACTAACATACACAGGACCAGATTCATCCCTGGTGCACAAGAAGGCAGCTCTCTTGGTTTCAGTAGGAGCTCCACCAATTGATGATCTGTCCCAGAATATTTATCTTATCTACATGTTTAAGGGGCTGTTGAACTAATTGTGTTTAAATATTCATGACTTGTTTTATCAGTATTATTTTATGCATCTAAAACGGAAAGAAGTTTGTCTCTCATTTAGTTTTCATCACTGATGTTTTCTGGGTGGGTTTGGGGTTTTTTTTGCATTTGATGGTCAGATTGGAGAAGGAAGCTAAATCAATCTCTTTCATAAAGGAGCAGTCTTGTGGTAAAAGCTGTGGGTTCATGAGTCCTGGACTCACTTCCCACCTTTGCCACTTATGCCCTAGGTGACCTTGGGCGGAGTCACTTCAGGCTGTCATTCTTAGTTCCCTGCATATGTGCGTAGCAGGGAGAGATTTACCTCCAGATAAATGTGTTATTGTCCCCACTTTACATTTCTGTCTCAGAGGGTTGCTGTGAGGATAAATCCCCATGGGGAAGTCAGCTTCTGAGAGATTTGGGTAACAGGGAATCAGGGACTTGCAAAATATATAGATAGCTTATGTACTCTCTTCTTTCTGGATGAAGTGGATTTTGGATTACTGCAAGATAAATTTTAAAGCTACCACTTCCCCCCACAAAAAACATTAAAACAAATGTGTTAATCAGTCACAAAGCCATGTCCAATCATTCTGGCTTCTGGGAAATGGAGAAACACCAGTCTAGTGGGTTTTCTGCTACCTAGGCAGCTGGACAGAGCTGCCAAAAATATTAGTGGCAACTCCTCCCTATATACAAGACCATAGCACAGGTCTTCCCTCAACCTGGGCTTTTGGCAGAAGTTCTGTTTCAGCAGAAATTATTTTAGCAAAGCAAAAACCTGTTTGAAAATTTTCTCTTTTGTCTGATCCCTAAGTGGGGCCAAAGGGGAAAGCTTGCTAGAGAAAATGCAGAAGAACATCTATGCTTTCCATCCCATGTCCTGGCCTGGCAATCCCTCAGGTTCTAACCTGCTTTCAAACCAGGTCAGCCAAAGAGATTTGGAATAGTTAGAACAGCTGTGTGAACCCCATTCTGGGAGGGCCATATCTACTCTCGAAACATGCTGAAGATGGTGGTTGCTGAGTAAAGGTGGGTTAGAACCTGATTTAACATTAGTATTAACATCAGTTTAGCTCAGCAATACTCAGACTGCGGATCCTGCATCACTCTTCAGCTGGTCACCTTCAGCATACCAAAAAACACCTTATCAAAGGTGTTTTCTGCGTGTATTAGGTAGGCCTTTCCTGCAATCGTGAATAATGCAACACGCATGTCATCTGCCTCTCAGGGTGAATTAATGTGCTGTAGTTTTTATTCTTTTGAACCACAGCATTTTTGCACAATTCACCAAGGCACATGTATGCTACTGTGTTTTATGTTTAATGCCAAATGCTCACAGGGTTCCTGAGCCAGTTGGACCATCGCTGATTTAGTTAAATTGGTTTTACAGCTTGTTACAGTTTTGGGGTAACTTCCCCTGTGTAGACAAGACTGGCATGCATGCACGTGGTCATCAGAAAGTAACTGGGATTAGTGGGGTGGAAATGTACCCGCTGGGGCTTCAGGAATCATCCGAGTGAGGGACTGATGTTTTAAAATCAGCTCCTTGCCATTTGCATCAAACTAATTTCCACCATCCTAGCTCTACACCCAGTGGTACTCCCTCACTCCAGCAGATTCCCTTCATCTCTGGGGCCAGAAGGTCTGATCTGCGTGGATCCAGTCTTCTCAGAATCTTGTCTCTGCAGGAGAGTCCAATCAGTGGAGGGCAAGTGGCTGTAGCTGCACTGATATGCGTTGCAGTTGTGCAGTCCCTACTTGTGTCATGTGCTGGACAAGGCTGGGAGAAACTGGCGTCTGGGTCCCTGCTTTTCTTACTTTTTGCCTCTCCCCTTAGGGAATTGGTTAGTTGTTTGCAGCCTCAATTAGCTTCTCTTCTACCTGTGTCAGCTGCTACCTGTAGTCACTGTTTCATGTCAGCACTGCAGGGCAGAGACTGGCCACTGCTTCCCTTCACCAATGGTTCTCTGCCTCCCTTGAGGGGGATCTTGGGTGCTTCTTTGCCATTCTCCTCCTTTCATCATAGAAAACAAGAGTTTTTAATGCTGTGAACTGCTTCAAAGAAGCCTTTGTTTCAAGAGAGCTTTTGAGGAAAAAGCAGCTGCAGGCTCTGACCCAGATGATTCAGACATGGCAGAACCCACCATGGAACCATTTTGGGCAGCAGAATGCAAAGTTTAGAAGGCAGCAATCCTGTCCTGGACCTTTCTATAGACCGGTGCTGTCACTCACTTTACAGACTGGGCAAGAACCCCAGCAGACTGACTGGCTGACTCCAGCTGCGGCATGCTTTTCCCCCAGCTCCCTCTGACATCCCATGGCCATGTCATTGCATATTCAACACCTGTGCCTGCTCTCAATGATATGCACAGGGGCGCACAGAAGCAGGTGGCTGGATCCCAAAGCCAATGCTGCCAATCCTGTGTTGGTCTGTAGGTTGTTCCTTTTCTTCTTGTAACCCAGTTGGGCCTTGGACTGAGTTGGAGAGCCAAGGGCATTATCATGATGTGTGGAGAAAACTTTGCCATCTATGGTCTTATCAGAGAGGCTTGACCTTGGGGATGGAACACCGCATAGCGGCTTTTGAAATCTGGTGTCAGCTGGTGCCTCAGTGTCACCACCTGTAAAATAGGAATAATGATACTGACCTCTTCTGTAAAGTATTTTGTGATCTGCTGATGAAAAGCAGTGTATGGGAGCTGAGTCTTGTTGTATAATGTGAACACATTGATACATTAGTATCTGCACTTGCTGCCTTTGGCCCTAGAGGTCTCTGAAATTAAGCAAAAGATATATACATTTTACTGCACCCTTCATGTTGCCTGATATCTTACCTTTCTGTTGAATGTTGTACTGTGCCTCTGAATGGGTTAGTCTGCTGTGGTGGCAATTCCAGGGGAGAGAAGTTTAGTTGATTGATTCACATTATGGGATTTAAGGCTACCAATCTGAATTTACTCCACTTCTCCATGGAGCAGATTTTCTGCTTGGGAAGAACTGTCTTGCAGTGTTTGTTATGCTGCAGTGAGGGGTTTGGTGTAGTCATGTATCAGCTTTCCTCTCTGGTGGTCTGGAACTGGTATGGGGATAGGGCAGGGGCTATTTTGCGGGTATTGTTGCTCTCCAAATTTAACATTGTTGTTTGTGTTCATTTTCCCTCAGATAAGCAGAAGAAAGTCTTAGAAGGAGTAGCTTGTGATGTCCCACGAGGAGTTCCTGCTGTAATCTCTTGGTTGCTGGCTGGCTTATTGGAAACCTCATCTGTCTGAACTGGCTGCTGTGGATCCCAGTGCCTGAATAACCAGGTAGCAATTTTTTTACACCTAAACAGTCCTAGAACACATGCAAAGAAACCAGTGCCTGGAGAGGAAGCAGATATTTGTTTGTGCCAGGAGTTATGCACTCTTCTTACCCTGCCATGGTTCTCCTTTGCTTCTTTCTCAGTTCACATCTGGCAATGCTTATATTTAAGAATGTTAATTATGTGGGGAGATTACATGCAACTATATAGGTTATGTAACTGCTTCCCATGTTATGTATCTGTAGTGTCAGGATGGAGCGAAGTAGAAAACACCTTTTTTTCTGTATCTGTCCTCCCTCTGCCAAAGCACAGTTTGTGTGATGGGAAAGGATGTTCCCGTTACAGATTTAGACCCTGCTTCCACCATTCTTCTTGTAGACCTCCACTGAAGTTGATGGGACTGTCTGCATGAAGTTTGTTGTAGCATTAGGGTCTTAGTAAGGAATATGGCTGCCAGGGTGCCTAATGCTACTCTGTAGTGCTTGGTACCATTGTATTTGGAAACCTATACGGCAACCCCCATTTAGCACTGTTTTGCCTAGTGCTATTTTGCTATAATGCTCATTTTACATTGATACCTGATTCCATTCAGCAAGTTTTGTTATAACATTCATGGGCATTTTATGGGAAAATGGTTTTGCTTAACACTATTCCACTTAACACTCGTTTTTTTGGGAATCAAGAGTGCTAAGTGGGGGTTGCCTGTATACTGTTTTGGACCTCTGAATTATAGGCAACTGCAAAGAGTGGGAATGTGTGCTCAAAGAAAGGAGTCAATGGATTAAAGGACATTTAACCAATTGAACCCCCTCTGCTGGATTTATCACTTTTCCACTTAATCTCTTAAATGACAAGGAGACTGTTTAGGCCATCCAAAGGCAAATGGACTTTGATTAGTTCTACTCTACTAATTAGCACCTTAACAGAAAACAAAGGAACATATAAAAAGTACAAGGTATGGGTTTCCCTGCCAAGCCTTCCTTCTTCTGTTTTTCCTGGTGGGCTCACAGGGCACAGTGGGAATAGATCTACATATTTCCAGATTTGTTCCTGAAGTTAGTGTTTGGGGATCTGACTTTTATAGGCTTGGACAGTAATTTTAAACTTTTTAGACTCCAGGCAGCCCTCCATAACTTTTCTGAATTTACCAGCACCACATTTCAGGAACTAGTTTCACTCTTTTTGTCTATGGAAAAAAATAGAGCAATTCTTCCATTATAAAGAACTCAGATGGACCACAACAGGCCAGAATGTTTTTGACACTCTGAGATTCTTATTTAAAATCTCTGGGTTTACTTTATGAATCACATGTAGGTGTTTGCACACATAATGGCACTAATATTCTGAAGCACCCTTAAAAGGCTCTCATGACATCCCAGAGTGCTGCATCCCTCTGGATGGGCATTATTGGTCTAGGGAAAAGGGTGGAACATTTAAAGGGGGCTTTCTGTTGTTCTCAGGGTCCTAGAGAACCAGTTCAAACCAGTTCTCATTGGTCCAGGGAAGGTGTCAGACTAGATTTAAAACTCTGGGAAAGATTTGGTTCCTAAGAAGGAAGATTCCACATCTTTACCTGGTTTATTATTTTGGCCTTCCTAGACTGGAGGGTGCCCATTAATCCATATGTTATTTAACATACTTTACGCTAAACGTAACACATTTTTTATGCCTTTCTTAGAGGCTTCTGGGCAGTTAGTTAAAGCCAGCGCATGAGTATACAATTAACCATATTGTAGTACAAAGGTGATATACAGTTAAGTAATTCTCTAAACACTATCAATATGCTTACAACTAAAACTGTAGCATGCCCTTTACATACAGTTTTGATTATAATGTATGTCAGCAGCCTGTGTCAGCAAAGTGGGAATTTAAAAAGAGTAGCATGTAAAACAGCAGGGAGCTGTGTTAAGAGTCTGATGAAAAGGAGATTAAGAAGGGGAATCCTAACAGGACTGTGCAGATAATACCTTCATGGAGCTAATAGCACAAGTCTAAGAAGAGGCATAACAGCCTAACATGAAAAGTAAAACTTGGCAGGTGAGATGTCAGGAGGAAGTTGTTGTGAAAGTGATTTAAGCCACTGGGATAGAAGGCAAAGGTTAAAAGAGTAGATTAATTCAGACACTGACAAGGATAAGGAATTACTGATCTTGATGAGACCCCAGGCCTGTCTTGTCTAATATCTCTGCCTTCAGCTATGTAAACATTGGCACCTGATCTACCTTGCTTCCACCAGTAACTACTGGCTGCCACTTCAGATTATGGTGTAGCCCTCATTCCTCTTATCTGCAGATCTGGTAGAATCAGAATAATGGGAAAACAGGTGTGGAAGGGACTTCAGGGGGTTATCTAATCTAACCTCCTGCTCAGTCAGGATCATCCCTGTTAAACTTTCCCATAGAAGTGTGTGGGTAACCTACACCTGGAAACGTCCAGGATGAAGTACAACCTCTATAAGTAATCAGTTCCAGTGCTTAACCCACCTCATTGTAAATAAATTCTTCCTAATATCCAACCTAAATTTCCCTTGTTGCACTTTAAGACTGTTACTTCTTGTCCTATCCCTTGCTAGCACAAAGAATAATCTTTCACCATCCCCTTTATAACCAGCCTTCTGGAATTTGAAGACTGTTATCAAATCCCCACTCAGTCTTCTTTTCTCTTGACTAAATCATCCAAGTTCTTCTAGAGACTAGCACTATATTACTCAGTTTAAGATCAAAGCAAAAACAAATACAGTTTTATTGGTATGTACGCTGATTTTCTAGATTTAGTTTACAAACACAACAAGCTAGGCAAAAACAGAACAAATATATTGTTTCATTACTCCTGTAATCATGATAGTTAAATATACAATTCTTATTCAGACTTATTAAATGAAACCTAGTCTTCTGGAGTATCTTGACAGAGCATTCAGCACTTCATTGTCAGTCATTGCCACACCTGAATTAACATTCATCTGAGTTAACATTACCACCTGTAAGTTTGTTTTTAGTTAGAACCAAGAACAGTTTGAAGGGCTGTGAAATGGAAAAGAGATATTACTAGGAATGGCTAACAGGCAGTAACATGGCAGATGAAAGGATATTTTGATAATCAAACATTGAGACCATTAAAAAGGAGAGAGGGTTGTTAACGGTTGTGGAGTGAAGCAAGATTGACAGGAATCCAATAGATGACAATGAGCCATGAAGTTAGTTGATTCCCTCAGCATGGCCTGACTAGAAATGCTGCTGCCCCTGCCAAGCAGTTGGTTTTAAACTTTGGGTGGAGCAAGAACCAAAGGGGGAGTGCAGCTGCACCCCTCCACTCCCTAGAACCGCCCCTGTTCCTAGACTTTGAATAATTTTTGTTGCTTTCTGTCCAAAGTGCTCTGCTCAAAACTGGACCCAGTACTCTAGGTGAGGCCTAACCAGCGCTGAATAGAAGTCAGGAATTAGAAAAGGGAAGGGGAAAATGGGAACAAGGAAGTTGAGAAAGCAGGTATTCTTCTGTAAAAGGATCCTGTCTCCTAGGGAAGCTATTTTGGACCAGACGTCATTGATGGGTTTTGTGGCTGGGACATGTTGGGGAAGATTGTATGTCTCATTTAGTTTGTGAAGTCTTTTGTTCCAATCCAGGACTGTAGACATGGATTTTCTATGGCTTGGCGCCTTTGTGTTCCTCCTAGTATTGTCCAAGGGCAACTCTTCAGACACAGAGAAGCAGAGGACAGACTCTGGCTTGGAAATCTGTATCCTTTTTTGTGGACCTTTGCTATGTGTGAGGGTGAGGAGAACTAGGAGAGAGCTCTCAGTATTATGAGGATTAAACACCAAGGAGGAAGAGGTGCTAATTAGGGCACTTGAGGGGGTTATAATCAAGGATAAGAAGATAAAAGTGAACTAAGGACAATGCAGATTGAATAATGGCACTTATTTTATAGGAGTGGAATAATCTCCCAAGAGAGGTGGTGGAAGCAGCATCAACTAGATCCTTTAGGCTGAGCAAAAGAATGGAGAAAGCACAGCGTGGAGCAGTTAGCTAAAGATGGGTGAGGACCCAGAGATGAACTGTAAGGTCGACTCTGTTATTGCACTTGCACCAGAACTGCTGAGCTGCTGCTGCCTTGCTCTTCTGCAGAGAGGATTTAATCAGGTTTATGGGTTTAGAGTCACAGAATCATGGAAAAACAGGGCTGGAGGGGACTTCCATAGGTCATCTATTTCAACTTCCTGCCTGAGGCAGGATCATCCTTATCCAAACCCATTGTCTGACCTGTTAGCAAACCTACATACAACTACAAGTCATAATACCGTAACCTGCCACAGATAAAGCAAGAGTACAACAGCAGTCAATGTTCTGCTGCTGCAAAGGTTGATAAAATATGTTGGAGAGATCCAAGAAAGAGGGCCATGGCCCTTTGGTACAGAGGAAACCAATACCTCCCACAGTCCATACCAATCTCACCATGGGGTAGTATTCCTTCCTGACCCCAAATACAGAGATTGTTCTGACCCTGAGTAGAGGGGCAAGATCCTTTAGCCAGGAATCTCTACATTTAAGTCCCAGGAGGAGCACTGGCACACTCCAGTCAAAATCCCCAGCCTTTGCTGCAGCCCAGTGCCTCTGAGGGAGGCAAATCCCTCCCACAACAGCTGTAGCAGCAGGAGGGGGAAAAAATCCTTCTCCGCCCCATGTGGCAACCAGCAAAGCCCAGAAGCATAGGAAAAACCCATAGTAGAACGAAGAGCTAGCTTACTCCTAGATCATCCCTGACCAGTGCTTGTCAGACCTTTAGTGATGGAGATTTCACAGCTTCCCTAGGCGGTCTATTCCACTGCGTCACTGCTCTAACAGTGAAGAAGTTTTCGTGATATCCAGTCTGAATCTACTTTGCAACTTCAAGCCATTGGTTTGCAACCTACTCTCTGCAGCAAGTGAAAAAGGTGTTTTTCCTCATCTGTATAACAGTCCTTTGAGTATCTGTAGATTGCTGTCATGTCCCCTCTACTGATTTACTTGCATGCTGCCTGCATCCCTTTAGTGTTTTATCAGGGCAGGGGGCAATTTATCAGCAGGACACATACATTTTTGGAGCACGGTATTTCTTTCTGCTCATCGCCCCTGCTGCACAGGGGTTGAGAATGCCTCTTAATGAGAACATCTTGGTGCCCATAAAAATGATCGCTGGGTGAAAGCAACTTCGAACTAAAAGTTTAACAAAGACATATGCGGTAGCTGAGAGCAATGGCTTAGTGCTCAGGGTTCCCTGTTGGAGTGGTACATGTTTCACTCAGCCTGATTTACATCTTTTCTGCGCTTATCATTCCTAGCGAGTCAGGTAGAAATAGCAGCGAGCACAAATTCTGTTTGGTGTGGGCCAGTGTCCTCTGATGAAAGGTTAACCAGACTGGCATTTAACAGGTATGTCTGAGATGTTCAAAGCCCACCACATATGTGAGAACTTCGAGGTTGGAGATTTTATGTAAGGTAGCTGTTGAGCAGCCATGTGAGACTGAATACACCTGATCTCATCAGCTCTTGAAAGGTAGGCAGTCCTGGACGTGGCTGGTAGTGCTTGGATGGGCAGCTATTTTGGAATGCCAGGCACCACAGAATCAAGCCAAGGCATTGTGTCAACCCACTTAGCAAATTGTAAATCAAGACAATTAACTGAATGATAAGACTGCATTCAGCTGCATTGTTGATCCTGACCTGATGGATGGCAAGAAAAGAAAAGGGTCTGTTATCAGTCCTTCAGTTACATCGGTTTACAAATACACATTTCTAATTGTATAAGGGCTTAGTAGTAATTACTCTCAAAGGGTTGTCTGGCTTAAGGGGTGGCTGAAAGTCTCCTCTTGTCTCTCTCTGCTGTTCTGCTGTG